CAGCACGGCGGTAGCACCTGTAGGTGAGATAGCGAGGAGGACAGCATCTTCTTCTCCCTCCTCGTACTCCATCTCATCTCTCTCTCTCCTTCTTCCTCCTTCCTCTTCTTCCTCTTCTTCTTCTTCTTCAGATACGAGAGTGAGAGAGGTTATCAGCAGAGGGTATTGGCAGAGGTTACCAAGGGCATATTGCCCAGGATCGGATTCGACATTTCTGAGGCAGACATTGATTGGGCATCGGCAAGGGACTATTTTGGACTTCTCCCTCGCCTCTATCTTCGTCTTCCCTCTCCCTCCATCCCTCGTCTATGGTATCACCCCATGTGCGTGTACAAGGAGTGACCTTTCTTCTTGGTGTGCAGGTCCCTCCTCTTCCTCTCACACATGTGATGTATGATGGGATGTCGTGTCAGTCCAGGTCAGGTCAGGACTTACCTTGAAGTCTTCTGTTGCGCTATCGAGTGCCATTTCGTATGTATCAGGATGCACATTGCCTGTTGATGTTTCACTAACATTGCATTGTCCATTCAGTCCATTTCATCACATTGCGGATCCTTGGCTCTACATACATTGCCCAACTGGGCTTGTATCAATTGGTATCGGAGCCCCACACGTGAATCAGGACTTGTCAACCTGATCTGACACGGCTGGGGACTAGTGTATTACCGATTGATTGATTGATCTCGGAATTACCGATTGATTGATTGATTGATTGATTGATTGATTGATTGACCTCGGATCTACCGATTGATTGATTGATTGATTGATTGATTGATTGATTGATTGATTGATTAGGTCACACTAATTGGTCCTAAAAGGGCCTTTACCCGTTCAGACCCTGAATGACGAACGCATCATAATGGGGCCCACTAGGCCAGAACCTAATTCGAGGAAGGCAGATCAAAAGACATGTTCCTAAGTCAAAAGTCACATCTTAACTGAAAAGAAAAGTCGTGTCAAAGGTCACCATCGTGCCCCAGTGCGAATAGTCACATCATTTGGTTTTAGAAGTGAACAGAGGTCACGTCTGTTCGTCCAAAGGATGCAGGGTCAAGTCTGTTTGTGCAGAAGTCATGTCTGTTCGCCAAGAAGTCAAAGGGATAAGGTCCCAGTCCAGGTCCAAGTCCAAGAGGGAGTCTAGATGCAGATTAGAAGTCCGAAATTCAGGCTTGAAGGCCGCAGCAGCAGCAGACCCTGAGGGAAAGGTACTGGGACACATTCCACAGGGGCCTGGGACTGGGGAAAGACCCAAGGAAGGCAAATTCAGACCTCGTGGAGGGAGGCCAGCATTATAAAAGACCGAGCCAAACTCCCTCACGATAGAACTCCACTGGCTTTGTTGCGTGGAAGTGCTGAGGCACTTGTGCGCTAGGAAGCAGGGAGAGAGCGCTGGCTGGAAGCTGCGCAAAAGGTGGAAGAAGAGGCTGGGCGCTGGCAGGCAGAAGCAGCCATAGCTGCGCCAGCACAGTTAGTAGAAATAGAGGGGTTAGTAGTAGACATTTGTTATGATTCTGGTTGTTTGTTGTCTGATGACCAACACTCACTCACATAGACTTCCAGGTATGCCCATACATACACAAAAGGAAGGGGAGAGGATAGGAGTATCACACCGCACAGGGAGAGAGAACACAGCGGAAGACTTAACCATGCGATATGCCAGGGTACACTGAAAGTGCAATTCACTCCACTCAATCCTCACAACCAGTCATAAAGAAAAGCTGAGCAGATCACATCCAGGAAACAATGAAACGATGATAGTCCAAACCCAGTTACACACTATTTATTAAACTCAGAGTCTCGAATTGTCAGGATAACTTCAGAACTACAGTGCGCTGCTCAGAAATGAGCAGCGCTTCACTCCCCAACCCTGAGAAACCACTCATAACACCCCCGAGCCCCTGAAACATCAAGCGCCACCCAGGTACAACCTCCAAAGGGAAGCGCCACCCTGAAACAGGCCTCTGAGGCCAAGCGCCACTCAGAGGATGAACAAGAGACCAGCGCCCCAGTATCTGATGATGACGAAGTGTTGGAAGACTTCCCGGGTGGAAGCCTGCAGCAGCGCCACCAAACCCTGACAAGATGACCCCTGAGAAAGAAGCTGCAGCATCACCACCCTGGAACCCCACTCCGGAGGAGGGTCCAGCAGGGCACCAACCTCTCTCGCCTCCAGCAGACCTCGATAGCCCAGACCTATGTCAGCCCCTGCGTGCTGGCAGAGTACAGCGCAGGTCCCAGCTATGGCCGGCGCTCCGAAGGTCGGGCTATGCCTGTCTCCTTCCACGCTGAGCCGTTACCACTTCCAGTTCACGCGTAGTGCAGCAGCGATGTACTCGGTACCAACTGGCAAAAGCGTGGATGTTGCGGATTGGGTGACTGCCTAGAGAATCATAACACATTCGTGAGTAGCATTCAGAGTAGATCCTCATCAGTAGGGAGTGTGCATGCAGAATGAGACAAGAGGACCAAGACAGAGATCTTGAGAGAGAGAGAGAAGACAGGTTGAGGAGTAGGATATGGTGGACACTTACCTGTTGGCGCTATACCTGTGATCTGAGGGCTGACGCTGGCTGAACCAGGCCCTATGTTGATGATTGATCAAGGGAGACTTGTAATCTGTTGGCGCTGAACTCTTAAACTTGAGATACTCTTTGTATAATGTGACTGTCAGGGTTGCATCCTCGCCGACTGGTCGGGCCGACTGCCGACTGTATTGTACCGACCGATCGGGGCCGACCGGTCGGCGGTAGCCGACGACTCAGAAAATAGTCCTCCGCTGATTTTTTTTTCGTTCCGACTTCACGGCTGTACTGCGCTTGCTGAGTACTGCCCAAATCCGCTGAGAAACTTTGGTTTCGGGGTGGGGGGGTGGGTTGTTGGGGGGGTGGGGAAACAAATAGCTCCTTAACATTTATTTCAAAACCCCAGGGGGCTATTTGAGAGGCCCTTGCACATAATTAGTAAGGGCTACCTCACCGTGAACGAGACGCCAAGTATATATGCTGTTGATTCACATTAAGGTCCGCGTTTCAGGAGTTATGGGACCACTGAGCACGCGAGTTTCTGGGCAGTAGAAGGCCAACTCACCACGTGCTTTCCAGGGCTTCCCTCCACTACTCACCAAACGTGCAAAACTAGGATGAGTCTTCTGCTAAAACATGGAATCATACGCTGCCATATGTTTTGTCTTTTGTGCAAGTGGTGACAAGTG